AGTAGCAATAAAATGCAGTAGTGTAGTAGTTAACACTACTGTAACTGCTCTATTACTATTATTTGACTATTAAGTAATTATTAAGTGGCAATTAAATAGTGATATTTATAAAAATTGGACAGTTTCAGCAATGTTATTGTTATTATTATTGATATTGTTGTTATAATTATAAACTAGTTTAAATTTATTTGATTGTTTGATTTTGATAATATAATAATTTTTGATTAAACAATTATCAGGTATCAATTAATAAAGAAGGTAAATAATTTTAGTTTTTATGATTAAAAAAAATTATAGATTTTTTTTAGTAGTGCAGTAAGTATTGCCAATAAGAAAATATAAGTAAAAATTGAGTCAAAACAAATATAAGATCTTATAACTTTATTTGAGTATGTTTTTTAAAATAATAAATATTTAATGAAAACAAGTTTATTAATTATAATAAATCTGATAATAATAAATTTTTAGTTTAATTTTTTAATTAAAATTAATAATTTATAAATAATTTATTATTATTAATTAAATTTTTTAATAAATTAATATAAGAAATAAATAATATTAAAATATTATATATATTTTTTTATATTATTAAAGCTTACTTTGTTAAATTTATTATATAGTATATGTATTTTTTTAAATATAAAACAAATTTATAATTTATTTTATCTATATATTTAATCTATTTAAATCTTACAATAAAATTATTTAAAATTTTTTTTAAAAATCTATCCAATATTACTTATTGTTTTACAATTAAAATTAATATATTCAAATATTATTAGTATATTTTTATTTGATTATATATTATTTTAATTTTTTTTATATTTTTGTATAATAAATAAAAAAGTAAAATATTAAGATAGAAATAATATTATTTTAATAAATAAAACTTATATAGCTTACTAAATCTATTAGATATTATCTTTTATTAATACTTGCAACTGGATATTATAATTTAATTTTCATTATTTCAATAATGATACTTATAACTGCTAATTAGGATGTAACTATTTTTCTATTTAAAATATTAATTATTCAAGGTTTTATATCTACTTTTATAAAATAATTAATATTAGAAAAAGTTTTTTATTAAATTTGAATAAAATTATTTTTTGTAAAAATAAAAATTTAAAAATATAAATATTATGAAAAAAGAAATTATTAAATTATTTTATTCTAAATTAGATATTTTTAATATCTTATATAGTTACTTTTTTAATAATCATTATATATTACTATATTTTTATAAAATTACAATCTCAATATCTGCTAAATTATTATATAAAAGAATATCTTATAAAAAATAGTATTTTTAACCAATTATAATATCAAATACTATTTTTAATTTAGTTTAACTTGTTTTATATAAAGTTGAACTGATATTTTGTAATCTGAATTTAAAAATATTAATTATTGTGCTATTGACCTATAGGTTTTTGTATTTAGATTATTTATAAATTTTTAATAAAAAATATCTTATTTTAAAAAATCTATATATATAATAAAATTTAAAAAAGCCATAATTAAAAAAAAGATTTATAATTCTATTATTGTATAATAATTTTATTATATATATAATTAAAACTGTTACTTTTTATTATAATTATAAAATTTATTTAACTTTTATTAACAAAGCAATAAGTTTTCATAAGAACATAACTTATTTAAAGAAAAATAATTATAATATTTTTAAAAAGTATTTATTATATCTTGGAAATATTATATTTATTAATATTAATAAAAAAAAAAATTTACATAAAGCTTTTAAACAATTTTTAATTATAAATATAATAGTAGATAATAAATTAATATATTTAATTTACAAGATTCAATTGATAAGAAATAGAAATTAACAATATATTTATTTATTAAAATTAATATTATTTACAATTGTATATTAAAAGATAATTAAATATATGGTATTTAAAAAATAATTATTTTTTTTAATACCATCTAATCTAATATAAAATCTAATATATGAATAATTATAATGATTTTATTATTTAATTAATTATAATATACTTGTGAAATATATTGTTGCTTTAATAATAATGAACCTATAATTATATGAATATTTAATTTTAATAAATATGCAACTATATTATTACTTAATTTAATAATAACAAACTTTTAATTATATTGATATTTCATTTTAATAAATATGCGACTATATTATTACTCGATGGTAGCTTTATTAATTAATTAATTATTATTATAGATGATTTTACAAATAAATTGACGTATGATTATAATTAAATCATTATAATTTTGTAATAATGTTTGATAAAAATAGGTTAAATTTAAATAGGATAAATATATAAATATATATATACAGTATATATACAGTATATAATTATTTTTGATTATACTTATTATAATTGTTTTAATAAATTTATATGTAAAAGAAAGACGATATAATCCATTTTTTAAGAAAATTTTTTTATGTTGTTCGTGTATGTTCTACCACGTACGATGTACCGCATCAATCTCCGACATTTTTGCCATAAAAAACATTATAGACAGATTAGACGAAAAGCAAAATGGTTCTTATCGTGCTTTTCAAAAAAAAGAATATAAAAATATAAATTCATGAAGTAATGTACAGTATAGATGCGCTATATTAATTAAACGTTACCAAAAAATAAAATTTGCAGTATATTATTTATTATATGTATGATTTTAATGGGGCACACAAAATTCACCGATTGTTCTGGGAATTATGGAGTATCTGATTATTATATCGATATAATACGGTAAAACGATAAGCGTAATTATGGGGCACAACGGCAAAAATGAAATCTACTAATTATTTTTAGGTACGTCTCAAAATGCTATTTTATTTTTTTTTACAAAAAAAAAACGTGTGACACAAACAACCTATACCAGTGTACAGTTAAATTATTCAATTACAGAGGCGAATTTATGGTTATTTCATTAACAAATACGGTGCATAAATCAACAATATTAAAAATATCATGTCAACAATAATAATGTTGTATAAAAAGTTACATTATATTGATGATAATGAGAAATAATTGTACAGGTTTACTCACAATAAATCTTTTTTATTTACACAACTAAATGATCTTTTTTTTTTTGAATTAATCTTGTTTACTCATTGAATGTGTACTGTACATGCCTTGGGCATTATCATTAAAATCTGATTTTTTTTTTTTTTTTTTTGAAAAAAAAAAAATAATAATAATAATAAAATAATCGGAATCACGGACTCACGCATACACATTACGTTAAACCTAAATCCAGGTTATCCAAATTACCATATTTACCAACGTTTTGATCCTAACTTAAAATCCATTTTTAGTGAAAAATTCTTTATAGACCGAGTTACAAACCAGTTCTCAACTTTTTGCGGGATGGAAATACTCGCAAGCAAATATAAAGTTTCCGATTTTTGGAAATTTTTGACGAGAATCCACAATACAATTAATTGAACTTTATTTTTGTACGTTTCTTAAAAAAAAATGGGAATATTCGAACTTGATTAGTGAGGTTGCATACAAATAATAAAGATTTCCATATAATTCCGTTGAACAATCAATGTATTAAAGTAAATAAATAAATATTGCAGCACAATTACACAGGATTGTGGCGCGGTCGCGAGCACTTACTGTAATTGAAAATAGTGGGATGGGAGGAATAATCAATGATTAATGATTGTACGGTGAGGATAGATCTAATGGAACGTTCTGGTGATTGCTAGTAAATCCCGGCAAATCAAGCGATCTATTTATAACACCTTTACCGATCGTCACTATTCCAAATCGATCGAAAATTACGTACACGCGCTTGGGAGAGCTCTGAATCATGGCTAAAAATCCCGCACAGCTAACATAACGAAAATTTTTTTGTATTACGTATTGCGTAGGTACTTGAAATGAATGTCGGATTCCCAATGATTGTTATGAATAATATTTGCAAATACTGTAATTGATGATGCCCAATTTGAACCTCGTTGAAGTCACTGAAATGCAGGTTCATGCGATTTGCGAACTTTTCATGACGTCTTTCAAGTACGTAAGAATGATTTTGCACACAATATTTGATGATTTTTAAGGATTTCCTTTTTATCCGGTCGGGCATGTTATATGCGTATTCTCGTATTCGACAATTCGACAATTCGACAGGCTGCAAGTCAAAATATGCCAAATTTTTTATGCCTATTTTTTGTGCATGTGACAAAAAGAGATTATTAGAAAAAAGAAAAAAAAAAGACGCCACCAAAAATTACATCCTCCCTCCGCCACATTGATCATAGATTGTAATTTACGTCATCGATCCGCTTATCATGTTCTTATCAAAGATAACCCCACGATTCCTGAGGATTCGGTTTCTCGATTCCAGGTTTGATGTTAAATATCATTATTGTATTTGCCGATATGCTATTCCAATTTCAGAACCTTGGAAAACCAGACAATCGACGAATGAATGACGAACGTCTTCTCGTCAGGAAAGTTAATAAACAGTAGTAGTGGTGGTGGTGGTAGTAGTAGTAGCAGTAGTAATAGTAGCAGTAGTAGTGGAACAAGAAGAAAATCATATTGTTGTGAAAAGACCAAAAGAGGATTTTTGAATGTGAATCAACTTTAAGTTAGATGTACGTGCGTTTCTTTAGTGCAGCAGTGTGCACAGAATATGCCTGTAACCGGGATTGTGATCACAGCACGCCAAATCGATTCCTACTACCAATTCTATCCCGAAAAGGACATCAAAAATATTAACGAATTCTAAGTGTATTGCCAGTTATTGTTAGCAGCATGTGAGACATGTATAGGTGCTGTTGGCGTTACAATAGTCAGGATTCTCGACGCAACCAGATTTAACCTGTTTCTTAACGTTGAAACCATTCGTGTCGGTTGAATAAACAAGTAAATATGAACAACAATAACAGTAACCGGTCTCTGAGTTGACACATTGATTTCTCCCATAAACCTGTGTGCAAGAATTTTCTAACAAAAAAAGTGTTCGAAAAACTTAGGTAAGAAAACACACGTGTCCGTCTTCCCGGCGAGTCGAGCACTCGCTACCCAGGAAAATGCGAATGTCTTTACGTACGCACGTACAAATAATGAAAAATGACCAATTTCGGCGGTCCACGTTATCCAACGCATCGATGAATGCTAAAATGCATGTGTACAACACCGCCTCAGATCTGAAATGTTAGCGGAATCGACGATTCACACAATGTCATAATCGATATGACGACACCTCTGATAGATAAGAAAAATAGGACTTTTGGTAATCGTGTAGGAAATTCCATGTCCCAGAATTCAATACACATCATTTATCACCATCAATTTTAGGGAATCAAAGGAAAAAAAAAGATGGGTAAGTCTAATTTTATGCTATACGATTGATAATATTATTATTGTTATTGGTTAAGCTACAGAAAAGTTTGGATCCGCGAACATCAACGGGCGTATTATAGTTTACGATATGAACTTTTTACTTTTCACGATAATTTTTGTGATGGGAATTTTTAATTCTCCCATTTTCTTAATCGATAAATTCCGGAATTGAAAATAATAAATAAATTTCGTTATCTTTAAAATCTGATGTTTTGC